TAGGGAACGTCAATGATTGATGGTCAGGATGAGTATACCTGACAATTCCCTCCCTATCCTGTCCGCTTCACACACGAAGCCATCTATGTTACTGGTCACGCTACTACACAAACTGAGATCAGTCAACTAAACACACATCAGCAATCCAATCCGAGTTGCTCCTGATCTAAATGGCTTATCATAGTCTAAGGGAGTTACATTTTCAAAGAGAATCAGAAATTAAGATACGGTTGACAAAGGAACGAATCCCTACAGTGCAGATATAGGCCATTCAGCCCAAGAGGTCTACTCCAATCCTCCAAAGAGCATCCCACTCAGACCCACCCCATTTCTGTAACCCCAAATTTACCACAGCTAATCCACCCAGCCTACAGATCCCTGAATGTGACAGACAAGTTAGCATGGCCAATCCACTAACTTGCACATCTTTGGACTGCGGGAGGAAAACAGCGCACCCAGCAGCAACCCACACAGACCCAGGGAGAACATGCAACCTCCACAGTCACTCAAGGCTGGAATCAAACCTAGGGCCCTGGTGATATGAGGTAACTGTACTAACCACTGTGGCTCCATGTCACGCACAGGCTGTTCTCAATATCTAATGATAAAAGGACAAGGAGATGCATATTTAAAAACACTGGGCAAGAAATGCAGGGCAATGTGAATATTATGCAGCGAGGGATATTGGCCAGGAACTCACTACCCACAAGGATAGTGGATGTGGAAATGATGAATGATTCTAAAAAGAAATTTAACGTTGCTTGAGGAAAATGAATTTACAGGAATGGAGTACTCAATGCTCTCAATGGGTTGAATGGTCTCTTTCTACTGAAATAAAGGCTCTGTGACTACTTATCATCTCAGGAAAACTTTGTGTACCTCATACAGACTAGTTATAATGCTTCGGTTCTGAAGAAGTCGTAATGGACTTAAAATGTTAACTCTGCTTCTCTCTCCATAGTTGCTGCCAAACTGCTGAGTTTCTCCTGTATTCTGTGTTTATTTCAGTTTCAAACCAACATTGCTCTGATAAATTCAGTGGTTTCACACTCTCCCAGTTGCTGCATCAAATGAAAATGGGATAGAATTAAGATAGTAAGAAAACAAAATCTGAAAAGAGCTGAAGTTTTGGCTGATTTTTAAAGAAGTTTTCACCTTGTTAATTCCTATTATCCGAAAGACTGTAGAGTCTCTAGTCTGAGTGAACTCTGGAGAGATATATTAAAAAAATTACATCATTCAGAATAACAGGAAGAACATGTGTTCCACAGACGCTGGCCAGAGTAGAAGTACCTGCCTACTTGAAAGGGTTCATTGGCAATGTGCTTTTATGTTCCAACTTAACAAATCCTATCTTTACATGAAAGTAGATCAGCTATTTTAATTTATGACAGCGATAGTTAAAACAAATATGACTTTTACATCCGCCTGCTCTTTCTTCCAAAAGGATCCTGAAGTAGCAAAGCATCAAATCCATGGTGGACTAACATGCCAAACAGTCACAGAAACTTGGTGTGCAAACTGTTTGAAATGTCTATTTGGTCAGAAAGATAAAGCTAAAGAAGTTACCTCAAACTTCAAATGTTGGTTTTTAATCAGACTTTTAAAACAACATTGGTCGCAGGAAAAGCTGTTTAACAGCAGTTCAAGAAGGTAGGTCACCACCACCTTTTCAACAGCAATTAGAGATGGGTAATAAATGCTTAGCCAGTGACGCCCACATCCCGTGGATGATTAAAAAAGATCCTTTTGCTTGAGAAGAAACAACTTTTGTCTTTTGTATCCATGTCACGTTCTAAAGTATGCTAATGAACATCAATGTGACTTATGTTGATTTTTTAATTTGTTCACGGGATGTGGGCATTGCTGGTAAAGCCAGAATTTATTAACCATCCCTAATTGCCCCTAAGGAGATGACAGTGAGCTGTCTTGAATCAACTTGCTATAGGAGTTCAAGGAATTTGACCCCATTTTATTGAAAGAACAGCAATATAGCTCCAAATAAGAATAGTATGTGTCTTGGAGGGCAAATTGCAGGTCGTGGTGCTCCCATGCATCTGTTGCATCTGGGTGTTAGAGCTTGTCAGTTTGGAAGTTGCTGTCCTGAAAGCAATTTCTTGCAGTGAACTTTAATTGCATCGGTGGTTTATGCCTCAGGTGCCTCAGGCCAATAGGTAATATTCATATGTTAGCCTTTGCATGTGTCAAACAAAATGAACTAATAATGGGAAGGATCATAGTCAACCTGAACTGTTCTAACCTGACACCTGCAGATGACTGAATCTTATATTGAGTAGGAGGCCTTTCAGCCCATCATACCTGCACCAGCTCTGTTAAAGAGCTGAAATTGCTTCCCCCTTCACAGAATATGGGTGTCACTGGCATGTCCAGTTTTTGTCATCCATCTCTTGCTAAGGTAAAATCCATGTTGGTCATAGATTACTCTAAGCTTTCTGGTTCAATTCCGCTGCCCTTTGCCATTGACCTGCAAATTCGTCCTCTTCAAGGCATGGTGGCTCAACGGTTAGTACTGCTGCCACACAGTGTCAGGGACCTGGGTTCAACGCCACCCTCGAGCAACTGTCTGTGTGGAGTTTGCACATTCTCCCTCTGTCTTTGTGGGTTTCTTCCAGATGCTCCAGTTTCCTCTCACAGTCCAAAGGTGCGCAGGTTAGGCTGATTGGCCACACTATATTGCCCATAGTGTCCAAGGAAGTGCAGGCTAGGGGTGTAGCCATGGGAAATGCAGGGTTACAGGGATAGGGTAGGGGATGCAGGTCTGGTTGGGATGCTATTTGGACGGTTAGTGTGGGCTTGATGGCCTGAATGACCTGCTTCTAAACTGTAGGGATTCTAAGTATTTTTTTCAATTCATTTTTAAATGTTATAATTCAAACTGTTTGCACCATTCTTTCAACCAATGCAATCTAATTATTAATAATTCACTGCATAAATTATCAAAGGCACGATGGACCAAAAGTCCTTTCTGATTCTAAGATTTTGAACTTCTCTGTTAAACTTCCATTTAAATATCTCTGCTTGATGGAGAACAATCCTATCTTTTCTTATCTTTCCACATAACTAAAGTCAGTAAACCCTGGTACCATTTCACTAAGTCTCCTCTGGACCCTCTCCAAAGCCTTGACTTCCTTACCAAAATCATGACGGCACAGAATTCGACAAAGTATTGCAGCTGAGGCAAAACCAATTGTTTTTCATGATTTCAATGATTTATAAAGCTTTAGTACTTATTCCAACTCTTAACGATTATTGATCTTGACACTCCCTATAATAGGGGTTACAAATTAATTTCAATCAACTGAGTATTTATAAAGTTGTGGCCAAATATAATAGCAGAGGAAAAGCATTTGAACAAGCACATTTATTTCCAAACTAATTAGCATTATCTTTTATAAATACTCGCCTGGTCATGCAGAACTTGTGTATTGCTGAAAAAATTGCTGTTGAAGCTTTAATCTTGCACTCATCAGACACTAGAATGCCAAATTTCAAATAGCTCCTTTTTTGAATTAAACTAAACATAGGGAATAAGAGTTTCCCTGATACTCGCCACGGTATTGCCTCGACCAGAATAAACTTGACAGTCAATCAGAAGCCTACTTTCAGGCAGTATAAATTATTATCCACTTTGAAATTTGGCATTCTTGCCAAAGTCCTGAAAAGCATAAGATGAATATAGCTTTGATAACATTTCTCCTTTATTCAGCAATATTCCTGTGTGTGATTGTGTGTGTCTGAATATGCATGTGCGTGCATATATCCTTGTGAGTATAGACAAAAAGGATCAGAAGACTAATGAGGGAGCATGACAGGCAAAAAAAGTTTGAAAGGCAGAAGTAGAAGACAGAGAGAGAGGAAAACCACAGCAAGATATAAGATACTGACATGGGACACAGGAAGGCCAGAGAGGTAAGGGAGAGTTAGTGAGACCAGAGAGAAAGACATAATGAAATGTGAGATAACACAGGACAGAAAGCACAAGAGACAAAATTGCAGACAGAAAATAAAATGGATGGGGTTACACTGAGACAAATCATAAGGTCACAGAGATTCACATAACATGTGAAATTAATTTACTGTTTCTCATGTCTCATATTTGTGTCTGAATCAAATAATGTGGTTTTAGCGAAAAAGAAATAAAATAAAAAATTTTAAGATGTAACCCTTTTAGCCACTCCAAAAATGACTGGGAAGCACTTCTGCCAGCTCCTAGTTACCTACAGTTAATTCCCAAATTTTTAGTGGACGTGGAAAGTAAAACTTTTATCTGCCAACTTTGGTTATGTGTATTAAGAAGTAATAGCAATATCTCATAAATTATAGATTCTGTCAACTTTCTCCATTATAACACATACACTCCTGCCAATCAATTACATACCCATTGGTCTCAGTTTTGTCAGCTCCATAATTAAAAGTCTTAAATTATCATCAGCCTCCTTTGGAGATACAGTGGAGGCTTCCTGATACTGACAGGATCTTTCCATTCAGGGGTGCTAGCTCAGAACAAATAGAAGCACTACTTTGCTGAAGCTGCTAAATGGTAGGGACTGGGAAAAGAATTGTCACCTTTGTATCTGTATAAAAGTTTGATGTGAAATCTCCCCAACAGTCATATTGCAGATAGTGTGACTATAATCCCTTAAAGATCTTGAACCCCACTAACTAAAAATAGTTGGGAAAGATAAGGGACAATTCCATAAACATCCATCAAGATACAATAGGATTAATTATTTCACATTTTTTTCACTTTATTTTTCTGCGTGTTGCCCAGCATTCTAAAGGAAATTTTACATTATACTCCTGACACAGCATTTTCATCCACCAGGAACGCAAATCAGGAGATAAAATCTGATGAGACTCATTAAATAACAGATCCATGTTCCCAGAATGTGTTTCCAACTGGTGAAGATGAATTTATAAAATTTACCATCTTATTCCATCAGCTTCTTTTTAGAGCAAACTTCCAGAACTTTATTTACCTCGGAAACAATAGGCATCAAACTTTGTGCTCGGATCTGGAAATCCAGTCCTGTTGTTAAATCGATACTTGGTCCTCACTCCAACAAGACCCCCTCCACACTGGCTCCTGGCATAGACAACTGGATAACGTACACTACCATCTGCAAGCCAGCCGTGGTCACAGCGATCCAGACCTTGCTTCCATGCAGCATGTAACTGTCCGGTGGTTGCTAACTGTGCGTTCCTGCGCTTGCACTCCAGCTGCGCCTGAATAAAGGTCAACTTTTCAGGTGCTGACACATGGAACACAAACCCTATTAAACAAGAGAGAAAAACCAGCCTGAGTTAGTAATGACATCCTAAGAAATCACACAACTGAAAGAAAGCTTCTCTGAATTAACAAATTGTTAGAGCACTTTAATTCCTTCCCAAAGCCATTTTCAATAAATAGGTGGGCAAATATATTACATTCTCTTTTCCTCTCTGGTTTTATACTTGTCCCCAGCAAGTAATATGTGATGGTTAAGAAAAAGGAAAGTTATACTTTTCTCTTTGCTCTTCATAGTCTCACCAAATAACTCTCCTGAATTCAAGCAATTATTTCTGTCCCTATACTGATGTTTAAAATGTAGAGGTTAATACTTCTGTATCTAGGGATCAAAATGGGATCTTTCTGTCCATATATCTCTGTAACACAATGTGCAATGCCCATCCTCGCCTTGTCATGAGGGAGCATATTTACCATTACCATATCTTATCAGTATCCATAAACCACATAAAAAATGACCTCAACCATTTTCGTTGATAATTCCTTGATAACATGGGGACATTTCCCAATTCCAGTATTTAGTTTATTTGATTACTTTGCAGACAAAAAACATCAAACAACAGGAGGTTATGTGGTGATATATTCTTTCTGTCTAATACTGTTCTGATATGCCGAGATACAGGGAGAGATACAGTCTGCCCAATATCTCTTGTAAGTATTCATTCATATCTACTTCTACTGTTTGCCATCTGTCCATCATAATCCTCCTTTAGGATGAAGTACCAACGACTTTCCAAAACTATCCCTTGCTTTGTGGTTAGTGAACAGGAATGTGCTTACAAAGCAACATCATGTGAGTAGATCTATTAAGGCTTTGGTGCTTTATCAGAAAATTCTAAGAAGCCAACACCTTAACCTATCTTTCTCTGTGCAACTGTTGACTGTATATTTTTGTATGTTTTAAATTTTTGCTTTTGTTCTAAATTTTAACCATTTTAACCATTTTTTGAATGCATTGAGAAAATATTTGTTCTATTAGCCTGTCAAGATCAACTCTTATTTTATTATGTGTTATTTTACCACAGGGCTGGGTACTTCACCTCCAAATAATTCTCAAAAAAGGCTTGAAATTAAACAAACACGAGACAAAATTCAACTCAACTCATTGATTTTTTTAAAAATCCGGTAGTTTCTATACTGGGTTGCTGAACCAAAAGGCCAGGTTTATGCCTGAGTGCTAGCTAAAAAGTAATTTCCACTAGTGACTCAAGTGGATAATCATAAGTTCTTGACAGCCCTGCAACTTACATTCATTTCACTCCTGCCATAGGACAATTGTTATGCTGGTCTGAAACTGTTTAATTTATAACATCATAGTTCCCAAGGAACAGTACAAATACTATGAGAAAACCTCTGCTGAAATAACATTTGATTTATGGGAGAGGAGTGAGGTCTACTTGTAACTGGATCTTAAGGAGGCAGCATAGAACAAAGAGATTCAAATAATAAAACTTGAAACAAATGCAGAAAGTAACCTGCTGTGTTTGAGACAAATCTCAAACTTTGAAGCCACAACTAATTAATGATAACAATCTTGTTATTCCAATCATCAAAGGAGTCAAATATTTCAAGGAAATCTGTCATCCAATTCAGACAGCAAATATATCCATTCAAATGTGGACTCAGCTGTATGACCTCATTATTTTCACCAATAGTACCAATTACTACTCAACCGTGCATCTCATTTATTAGAAGTGATAATCATCATTTAACTTTAAGAAACTAAACTTTAATCCCTAGCACCTACAGGGAAAGTATAATCCTTCCATTAAAAAAAAGTCCTCCTTCCTTGAGGTTTTAGCTCATGCCACAACTACGGCAGCCACATCAGGTAGATCATAGTAATGACATATTCTTTAAAAGTGAAGCCTGACAGTGGTGGCAGGTTGTTCAATTTATAAGGGCCTCAAAGGCAAGTCCAATTTTGTTTCCACTTTATGCATGCCTCACTGTACAGTGATCGGGAGCAAAACCGTCGGTTGAATTTTTTCGAAGGCATATTTAGCTTACTGACAGTCTAGGCTGAGAATAGCACAAAGTATGGATCAAATTAAAACCTTCTAAAGCTTAAATAAGCATCTTAATGCATAGGTGACTTGCTAAAACATGTTGCGCAACATTCCCTCACAATCCCAAGCACTAAGCGTTGACCTTAGGGATAAATTTTCATTAACAGAATAGTTTTTTTTTAACATTTGTCATAAATACTTTAGAAAACATTCTGATCCAAACCGAAATAAGACATTATTGCTTCATTTGGATTTCTCACCTTTAAAACCTGCATTCAGTTGGACCAGCACATTCAGCAATTGAAAACACAGAATAACAAATACTCGACATTATTCTTTCATTTTTCACATGCTGTTATCAGCAGGAGTAATAATGTTTTGCAAGTTTATTATGAAGCTTTCCTTAATTTGTACCCAAAGGATTCAGTAAAATTTCAATTTTACCTGGCAAAGGCATAATTTATGAAGAAATGTCATTTTGGGGGTAAATATTAGAATTGGTACGATGTTAAAAACTCATTTAAAACAGGGTTAGGTAAAATGTGAAATTTTGAAGGTCAAGGTTAAAAAAATTCGGCCAATATAGAGCAAATGCCCCTAGCCTCTTCATCAATATCCACACCAATATTAACAAGTATTTTATCCTAGTTCTGATAGCAAATGCCTGAGACAGCAAATGCAAAATACATTCAGGTGGCCCCATGTCTGCTGAAATGTCTCGGGATCCTCTGTTTCACTAAGCTAATATAGCAAATGAAAACAGAAACCATGACAATGTTTTTAACTTGCTGCGAACAATGGACTGCATGTTTACACTGGCTGAGAGAGTGAAAGAGAGAGGGAGTAAGAGAGACCCTTTCCCTTATCTAAAGTTGTAATTTGTATTTGAAAGAACCTCAAGTATTTTCCTAGTGTACATACTGCACCATTTTATGTGGGCCTTGATTTGAAGAATGTCTGGCTTTCTACACCAATGCATCAGTGAAACTATCTAGTGAGTTATTGAGCTATATACAAAACAAGAAGCTCATGGGTTTTCTTTTCAATTTAGCATGCTGTGTCAAGTTAATCAATCCCTGCTGCGGGAATATAAGGGTGTGACAATTTGTAATGGTAGCCCGGTTAAGGAAGAGAAAATCACCCAAGATTTTTGCTCTTGATCGCTATTGAGCGGCCCTTGCTAGAAATATGACTGAAAGCAACAAATGCTGGAGATCACAGCGGGTCAGGCAGCATCCATGGTGAGAAAGCAAGCTAACGTTTCGTGTCTACTCCCTACCTACACTCACCTTTACTGGCTCCATCCCCGCCTCTTCGACCTGTTTGTTTCCTCTCCACCTTTCCTCTCCTCTATCCCTCTTCCATCCGCCTCCCACTCTCTCCCTATTTATTTCAAAACCCCCTTCCCCTCCCCCTTTTCTGATGAAGAGTCTAGGCCCGAAAAGTCAGCCTCTCTGCTCCTATGATGCTGCTTGGCCTGCTGTGTTCATCCAGCCCTGCACCTTGTTGTTTCGTGTCTAGATGACTCTTCATCAGAGCTGAAGTGAAGTGTGGAGGGGGCAGCATTTACGCTATAGTTTGTTGGGGGGAGCAGTGGTGGTGGAGCAGGGTGTGCTGGGAGAGAAAAGATGTTGATAGTTCAGATTAAGTGATCAGAATGTGAGAATGGGAGAGTAATGGTGTGTCTAACTGCCAGACTGGTAAGAACAGACAGTCCCACTAGGATGGGCGAAGGGGACAGATGACATGGTGACAGAGAATGGAACAAGTAAAGCTAAAAGAAAGGGAAGGAAGGGGAGTTGGTTCACAACTTGAATGTTCTGCACTCAATATTAAGTCCAGAAGGCTGTAAAGTGCCTAGTCTGTGGATGAGATGTTGTTCCTCCGGTTTGCGCTCTAATTCACTGGAACACTGCAACATGTCGAGGACAGACAACTGGGCATGTGAACAGGACGCTGTGTTAAAATGACTGGCGAGGATAAAGTAAGACACGGCCATGTGGTCAAATATCTTCCAACACTCATTGTTAAGGCTCACATGTAAATGCTACTCTTAAATGTTAGAGGATTTATGGAACCTGTGTAATTAATCAATCAGACAGCTTTGTGTTCTTTAATATTACTCAATGAATATTAGTATTGTGGAGCTGGTGGAAGAAAATCTTTCATGAAATGTTACCCTTTAAAGTAGCAAGTTTTGAACCAAATGAGTATCCACTTAAAGCATTCCAGACTTCAAAGTTACTAATTATCACAGATGACTAACCATGAACAAACTCCATTGCAGCAAATGCAAATGAGAAAAGGTTTATGTTGAGAAATGTCAGGTTTGTAATGTTTCATTTCACGGAAGCAAAGAATCTGGATGTCCTTTGTTTTCACTTTGTGATTTTTGTTTATATCAATTACTCAAATAATAAAGCTAATAATGCTCAGTTTCACCAAACTGAAGATTTAACACCAACCAAAAGAAGACAAAAAAGGGTGTTGCCATTTAAAAACAATGCTATGACAGTCTAGTTGATATAAAGCCCCTTTTTTGTTATAAATTCTAAACAGTACGTAAAACATAGCTAACATGGGGACCGCTTTGCAGAACACCTACGCTCGGTTCGCAACAAACAACTGCACCTCCCAGTCGCGAACCATTTCAACTCCCCCTCCCATTCCTCAGACGACATGTCCATCCTGGGCCTCCTGCAGTGCCACAACGATGCCACCCGAAGGTTGCAGGAACAGCAACTCATATTCCGCTTGGGAACCCTGCAGCCCAATGGTATCAATGTGGATTTCACAAGTTTCAAAATCTCCCCTCCCCCCACCGCATCCCAAAACCAGTCCAGCTCGTCCCTGCCTCCCTAACCTGTTCTTCCTCCCACCTATCCCCTCCCCCCCCCC